GCCCTCCTAATGGCTCAGAGGAAAATAATTAAAAACAGGTGCACAGTTTCTCTTATCACGATCTTGTCTGGCCTTTGTGGCTGATTAATTATAACTCAGTAAATCCCCAATCCCTATATGAGGGAAGCTAATTGCGGAGAAGAGACGGTAGGAATTCAATAACTTTTTAACATGTTAATGGTACTCATGTGACAGAACTTTCATTGATCTTCAATTTTCACTGGTTTCCAGTAAGCTGCTTTATTTCTGAATAATGACTTTTGTGGTTGAGAATACTCGCACGAACCCTGTCTAGAAGGCAAAGCCCGCAAGGAAAAACACAATAACTCTCATTATTTCTACATTTAAAACTGACTTCTCTGATCACACAAATATGGGAATGAATATCAGGATTTGGAGTCACGGAGACACTTCTACATATGTGTACTTAGTTACTCGTAGACCGGATCCTCAGCACAGCCAGACACCTCGGATTTAGTTTAAATGTTGTGTTATACTAACACTGAAGTCATTTTGGCCAACGATGATCCGGTTAGTCCCAAATACAGGCGGTTTAAGTGGAAAAGTTCAAAGGGAGGCAAACAAATGAGTCCCTCCCAATTCTAGAGGTGAAAATATCAAAATGCATAAAGCTGTGAGGTATGCACACACGGAGTTAGGCAAGATAATGAAGGCATTCTCAGCACCAAAGAAGCGTGGGTGGCAGCCATAAATTGAACAGCGAGCGAGGGAGAGGAAACCGCTTTAAAGTCAACAGTGGAAGCAAATAATCCCTCCATCAGCGCAGACAAAGGAAGCAATTCTAATTTCTAAAAAAAATCAATCAAATTCAGCGAACGTTGCTCCTTTCTTTGGAGGGAAACGCACAAAAGGAAGCAAAGTCTCTGCCACAGCGTTGTAAAAGCAGCGGCGCTAACCCTTTTTATGCTGCCGATGCTGCACAGGAACGGGTCCGATGAGCCCTGAAACAGCAGCACTTTGCACTTTTAGAGATGGAAAATGCTTTCGGCTGCATTTGATTTCATTTTATTACAGTGCAGCTGTTCCAAGCGCACAACAACATCGTAGCAGAGATCATTTACTGCAGCGTTCAGTCCTCCAGTGATGCCGTATAACAACGTTGGCTTGAATGAACATGGAAACCTGGCAATCGACGGGCATTTATTGTTTATTGGTAGACACAGAAACACAATGGGCTGTAAATTTGGGAAGCTGGTATAATAAAAGCCATCAGATATAAAGCAGATTAAGGGGTTAAGAATGAAGGAGGAAAGAGGCTTAGCGTGCAGAGAGAAATCAATACCGCTAGGCTGACTAAAGTCCTGATGTGTTGGTGGTTGTGGCGGATGTTTTTCCACGTGAACATTTGTGAGGCAGGCTTTGTGTAGGCAGACTTTGCCAGTGTCTCTACAGGGTATATACTGGAAAAAAAGGAGCTAGCCTCCAGAACACTTCAAGCAAATGTATACAGTGGTTGGTCTAAAGCTGATGTATGAGCGGTATCATTGGTTTATTTTGCAGGGATGGCACCAGAGTTTGCTACTGGAGCAACCAGTTTGCATCTGTTGTGCCTGGGCGGGTACAGAAACAGAGAAAAACCACAAAGCAACTACACAAAACAATACAAAACTTACAAGTCCATCAGTGTGAGATAATAAAATAGATAAAGGTGACCATTGTGTTGACTTTAGTCAAACCTTGAGGCTTGTTTTAAATGCTGCAAAGCTTCCTGAATTTCTAATGTGACCGTTATGTGCTCGGTGCATTTGATCAACCCTCAGCAGACAGTCACAGTCCCTCGACGATGCATCCCACTGACTGAGGATCTCCAGGGTTTTTCTCTTGAGTTGAGACTTGTGGTTTTGAATATAATGTCCCATTATTATGATTTTTTTCACAGTAAACTTTAATATCTTTGATAATCCTTTGATCCCCAAATTGCAATTTGATCAGAGTTTCAGTTTATGGGCACAGTGCTGCAGTTGCTAGCACTGTTAGCATCTCATAGCTAGCAAGTCCTCGGATTGACTCTTACGTCTTCCTGTGTTGTTCTCACCAGGTGCTTCCTCTCACAGTCCAAAGACGTGTGACAGGTTACCTGGTGATTCTAAATTGGCCGTAGGTGTGAGCATGCATGGTTGTCTGTCTCTCTGTGATGGACTGGTTACCTGTCCAGGGAGTCCACCACCCCCACAATCCAGATAACGGATGATCTAATCCATGTAAAAACCACTAATATCCCCATTGTCCTCAGCTGAGCTTGTTGTTTGGTGCTATTAATCAAATGAAGGCAAAGTAATGCGCTAAATTAAAATAGAAGCTTTCACTGGGATTACCACGAGTTTGATGACTGAGAATCTACACAGACATGTACAGGATCATTACTGAGAGAGTTGGGTTTACAGCTACGAGACCAAGCAGGTGTCTTTGCAGTGGAAGAACCTGCAGCCTCCAAAAACAAAGAAAACGATAAACAGCACAACCAAGAGCATAAGTCCTTTTAATCAAAAATCATGTGGTTGTGCACCTTGTCTGTGAGGATCATACTGTCAACATAACGTTCTGGGGCATCTGAAGAAGATTCAGTGCAGAAGTGATGATAGATGCCTACATGCTGTGGTCAAACAAAGACGGTTGACTGTCTCCACCCGCCCTGCTCGCCAGGTTTGTCCCCCAAATGCAACTCAAGTTAAAGAGACACATGAAAGAGATTCCAAGTACACCGTAGTTAGCTTGACAAGCTCAAAGAACAGGACGTCCATGAAGCGTTCAAGTGTAGCGGAGGTACGTTTTTGATTTCTATAATCACGCTCTTTTTGCTCAATCCATGTGACGCGTCCAATAAACGAGCGTGGTCGACTGAAACACCAACCAAACAGCATAACCAGCCTCAGAGCCACCATCTTCACTGAAGTGGACTCACATGCATCCTTCGCTCCACATCTCACTGCAGTGAATAGATCTAGCTTTAAGTTTTCACCATTTTTTTGTCTGACATTTGGAGTTTTTATTTGGAATAAACAGAACAATCAACACCAACAAACAGTCGGAGAACAAACGCACCACTGCATCGCG